TGTGTGTCTTTGTGAGTGTGTGTGTGTGTGTGTGTGTGTTTGTGTGTGTGCATACTTATGTGTGCCAGTACTATGTCTTGAACTCTGGGCCTGGGCAATCTCTCTTAGATTTGTTGCTCAAGGTTAGCACTCTATCACTTGAGCCACAGCTCCCCTTTTAGCTTTTGTGGTAGGAAATTGTGTATAGGAGTCTCAAGGACTTTCTTTCCTGGGCTGGCTTTGAGCCATGATTCTTACATCTAGTCTCCTGAGTAGTTAGGATTACAGGGGTGGGCTTGCTGGCACCTGGCTCTCTTTCATTCTACTTATGTTTTTTTTTTTTTATTTATTTTTAGTTGTCAAGGGTCACCATTCATTTTGAGTACAGCACCTCTTATTAGGTCTTTTTAGGTCTTTCCCTCATTTGGAGTAGTCTGCCCAGCATTGTGGGTTCTGAGGTATTACTACCAATAGGTGGCCCTGCTGCCTTTGTGATCTAGCTTTGTTACTGTTGGTTGTGGGGCCTGAACTCTGTCCCTGAGCTCTTTTGCTCAAGAGCTACCATTTGAACTAAAACACCACTTCAGGTTTTGAGTGGTTATTTGGAGACACGAGTCTCACAGACTACTGGCCCAGGCTGGCATTGAATCCTGATCCTCAGATCTCAGTCTCCTGAGTAGCTAGTTAGGATTACAGGTTTCAGCCACCAGTTCCTGGCCAATGCAGCTTTCTTAGGAAGACTGTGGTTGCCTCATACAAGCCTTCCTCAGTCTCATCTCTTTCCCACAAGGAATTTCTAGCTAAGTTCAGAGTCGGGCGGAACCCCGGATTTTTTGTTTTCATGGTGGCTTCATCATGTAGGCATGAGCAGTGATGTGAGCCACTGATGATCAACTCTGCCTTGGCCTCTGTTTCTCCTGGTGAAAAGCCCCAGCCTTTTGATGCAGCCTTTTGCTGTCTGGGGTCCAGCCCCAATCTCAGGCTTCCATGAACTACCAACCGTCAGCCAGCTTAGCAAAACACAGCAAGTGTCATCACTAAGATCTCAAGGGTTGTAGCAGCTGATCACAGAATGGCTCTCATATCATAAGAGTCTATGTTTATGTAGTGGATGTTCAGAGCTGCCAGCGTGGCAGTTTATTAAACTATGTCCTAGCTGGCTTTTTTGAATAGAAATGAACAAACCAATTTCTAAAGTTTCTATAGATGTGCATAGGATCTGGAATGGGCAGGATAATTTTGAAAAGGATCAAGTTAAAAAAAATGTTACAAAGTGCTTAGGACAATGAAAGTTTGGGACATTGACAGACAGGTAAATGAATAGAACAGAATGGAAAATTGAGAAGTAATTGAAGAATATAATGTTCATTGATTTTTTAAAAAATCAAAATGTCTTGATGAGAGAGATGGTTAATCCAAATCACAACTGGTGTGGAAGGAGATGAGCCTGAACTGTGGCCTCTACAACAAATATAACTCCACGTGACAAGTGGGACTATGGAGGGAAGCCAGAACTCTGAAAACTAATGTTTGACAAGAAGAACATACAGAACATGAATTAATTATACTTCGGAAAAAATAAGATGCATTGGACTTTAGTTTGCTTTCAGAGAGCTAGCAAAAGGACAGACTATAGAGAACCTGTTGTCAATGTGTCTATATCTACATATTTATCTGCCTGAAGAAATATACAAAAACCATATAATAATTTCTTTTTCCTAGTATTGAGGATTGAACTCAAGTCCTCAGCACTTTCTGAAGTCAGATTAGAAAAGGCAGAAAATGGGGCTCAGTGGTGGAGCACTTGCCTAGAGTGTACATGGTCTGGATTTTGAGCCCTAGCACTGCCAATAAAGGACAAAAGCTTTTTTTTAAACAGTTTCTATTTGAGATGTGGTATATGAATGTTAAACGAGGACACAAAAAGCTATAACAGCAGTATTCATTAGAGAAGTCACGTGTTAAGATCACAGGGTGCTCAACTGGGATGAGTGTCCCTCAAAGACTCATGGTGGTAGTGGAAGGGGTGAGATCATTGAGATGTAGGGCTTGGTGAAAGGATGTTACATTATTGGGGTGTGCCCATGTAGGGGATACTGAGGGTCACCTCTGTGTCTTTACCATGCACCTTCTGGGAATTGAGCCATCTCACTTCTGCCAGGTTGTAATGTGTAGTCACAGGCCCCAGAGGAGAGGTGCCAACTGACACAGACTGACACCATGAGTGAGTGATCATCTCTCTGTTGGCAGAGAATAATACAGAACATGCAGATTGCTGTTGAGCAATAGAAAATGGTACAGACAGTCACTCTGGAAATAGACAGCTTTTTGTGCACGTAGAATGTAACATGGCTATTTTGCTCCTAAGTATTGTCCACACTACAGTGTGGCCTCATGAGGTCTTGTTTGAAGATGTTTATAGGAGCTTTATTTGTAGTATCAGCCAAAGCGTGGAATACTCAGATGTGTGCCTGCAGGTGACAGGAAATGAGTGCATGGTACATCTACACTATGGGGTAACATACAGAGCAGTGAAAAGCAACTTGTGCTGAGTGGTCTAGCTTGAATTCAAAAGGGTTGTGATTCCATAAACCTGAAGTGTTATAAAAGGTCACACCAACCTAGAGTGACAGGAAATCAAAGTTCCTTGAGTCCATGCTGGGAATCTTCTGGGTTGTTGGTACTGTTGTCAGTAGAGGCATGAGGTACAGCTTTAAAACGGGCTTCATTGAAAAGTGTTTTATCAAGGGTGAAGTATACCTCCAAAAGAGACGTTACCCAGAAAGAACAGAAAGACCACTGCAGTGACTTGGTTTGATTTAGGGAGAGATAGGGTTAAGCCAGAATACTTGGGGGAGGAGCCCATCCCTTGAGTTGTCAAAGGCCTTGAGGAGCCTGAACCTCTTAGGCGTTTGAGATGTGCCCAACACTGTCAGCTGACCTGCATCTGGGTTTGCTCCTTGGCACCAGAGGCATCAAGGTAGAGCAAGAGGCAGTCATCGCTTGGAGAGGAAGCATTTAACTTCTGAGGTGGCAACACAATACTGTCTCACTGTAGAGATGGCTGAGGAAGATTAGCAATAAATTTTTGACATGTGCAAACTCCTTTTCAGTTCTGGGTACCAAATAGCCCTCCCAGAGTGAGGGAGGAGGATCAGGCTACCACCTTGGTTGTCAGTGCACTGCTGTTCATCTGCTTTTTAACTGACAGGAATTGTTTAAGAGTCTTTGTGGAAGACATTCAGATGTAAAGTTCTCTGTATTCCCATTTGCTCCCTCTGGCTTTTAGTTTTTTTTTTTTTTTTCCATCTTGCTAGCTGTTCAATTTTGGAGTATCACACCCCAGTCATCTTTTAGACTAGACAAGTTTTGTAATGTTAATTTTAGTAGTAGTTTCATTTAAATCAGATTTTATGTATTTTTTGACTTATTAAAAATTGAAGTTAAGGGAGTCACTCACTGTGCTGTGGTATTTTCTGCAGTCTAGCTGCATTTCTGTAGATATTCCAGTAGGAGTTGCTACTAAGTCATCTACAAGTAATGGAAGCTTGGTGTTTTGGATGCTGAGACTTGAAATATACTTTGTCTTGCTTGTTTCATCCATTTAGTCAGTTCAGTTTCTTTTTGAATTTTTGTAAGCAAGCATTGGAATATCAATGTTGTCATGAGTGCATTTAGGGTTGTGGCTGGCCAGGAAGTAACATTTCAAGTCTGTGTGGGCTTTCAAGTTTCTGTCACAGTAGTGCAGAGTGGAGATGAGGAGAATGTCTACCCTAAAACCAGGGCAGCTGGGTGCAAAACAGGACCATGGTTATGCCAGTGGGATAACCGTGTGGGAGTGAGTGGAAAGGGTTGTGTCTGTGGGTTGGGGATGCATACTATCTGGAATGTGGGAGGATCTGGACTTCATCCCCACTATTGGAAATAAACCACCTTGGGTTTTTCCAAAACAGATGAATCTGTTTGGCTCGAGGGCCAGAACATATCAGTAGAGTACAGGGCTGCCCATGTGGTTTAAGCCAGAGCAAAGCCTTGTTTTCTTTTTTTGCAGCTGTGATCCCCCTTTATCCTAGTGGGATGTACTTCTGACTGAGAAGAAAGCCAGCAGTGTGTCTGCTGCAGTTTGTGAGGAACCCCTGCTCTGGCTGGGGTCTCGATGCTAGGTGTTGAGATCTTCTCCAGGGAGAAACATTCCAAGGGCTCTGATCTAGTGCCTTCCTTGCAGGCCAGCATCCAGCCATGGTGGACCATGGGGTGCAGAAGTGTGTGCCTCCACAGGGTTTCACAATGGGTTTTCTAATGCTTATTTAACAGTAATATTTCACCGATCAGATGTTCCCTTAACTATGAACATTTGGAAATCTGTAAAAGCTACTTTATGATGCTTGCCAGATTCTCTTTTATTAAGACAGAAAGACACAGCATTCTTCAAGGTCCTTTTGTGCTTCCCATCCATGGGAAGCATTTCTTGTGACCATGATGCAAGCGTCATCCAGGTTCCAGCAGCTCCTGCTGTGCAACAGAGGTGCCCAGTGTGGTGAGGTGAGTGGAGTTGGGTAGACGGTCCACCATGCAGGGTGTGAAAGTGCAGCAGACTCTGTCATCAATAGCATATACTCCTCTCCACTTTTATTATGGTCTACACAAGGGCCAAGAACCTTTTTCTCAGCCAAGGGCCATCTGGATTTTTATGACATTGTTCTGGGGCTGAACAGACAGCTGTGAGCATCCAATGAAAAACATGTGTGCTGACATGTCACATGTCGAGTGATTTTTGTGGCCCTTACATGACTGACTGAGTGTCCTTCAATTCTGGTCTCAAAGGAGGATTCTGGAGCAATAGTGGAAGGATGAACACTGCTTGCCAGTGGGACTTGGGGTGTTTGCGGAATTGTAGATTGCTCCCCCCAGTGCTCTCTCTCCCACTTCCTGTATTAAGCTATTTGTTATTTCTAGTCTTCTTTCTCTCTTTTCCCTTCTTGTCTCTGGATTGCTTTCCTCTGTCCTCTCTCCACTATCCCTTAACCTCAAGTTCTTTTCCTTTCCCTTCTCAGGTAGGCAGAATTCTCCTGAGAGTTTGTGTGCAGGAGGAGGAAGAGCATCCTCATGGCTGGGTAGGTATAGGCTGCAGCTGATTGGAATTCCTGCTGTCTCCCAGTGTCATCTTTTCTCCCTGTTTAACTTTCTCTATCAGCTCTAATGTGGGAAAGCAGAGCAAGGGGAGTAAAAACTAGAGACATGGCTGGGAGAAATTCTGCTGGTCTGTTCCTGGTGAGGTTTGAGCCATCATGCACAGATTTTATTTAGTCCATTTAATATAGTGGCTGTGGAAGTTGGTAGCAGATGTCTTGAATCCTATTGAAGGAACTATAAATATGAGCTTGTGGCACCTTGATCTTATACATGGGCCCAATTTGATTTCAGTTTATTTAATTAAAACTTGACAATGCTGCTAGCTACACTGCAGTAGGTATAGGAAACTTCTGACTTCAGCTTACAAAACTGCGACGGACCAGCTCTGCCTGAGCACTGGGACCAATGGGACAGGGATCTGGGGATAGGTGGGCAAGGAGTAGGCGAAGTGACAGACACAGACTCAAAAGAGTTGCATCTGAGTGTATCTTTATTGAGGAGAATTAACATTTTCATACAGTGTGTGATTGTGACATAGATTCTTTTTTTATTTAAGCAAGTAATCAATTTTTAGGAAAAGAAAAACATTGATGGATTACATAAAAATTGATTACTATCCCACCAACTGTTTAAGCTAAATGGTGTGAAACAATGCGTCATCTAGTCAGCCTTTTTATGTTTAATAATGAACAAACCTAAGACAGGGCTGTACATATATTGCACTCTTTTTATTTTTTTCATATATTTTCAAGCCCCTTTGAAACCATCCTAAAAACCACTTTCAGGTTGAATCAGGCATTCTCCGTTTTCTATAATTTTAATCCCAATATTTGTTCACATAAATTTCTAATTATTATTTTAAACTATCTTGTTGTTTTGATAATAAACACCATAATGGTCCAGATCTAGTTAATCTTTGCATAAAATCTAATGAGTTCCAAAACAGCCTTTGTCCTTTTACATTAATCCATCTATTTTCATCTTTGTAAACTCCTGTATAAGGCAATGGTTCATGGGTCAGCTCAGGAAATGTGATGTCACTAACTTTATATTTTGTGGGAAATCACCATCTATTCCCTATAATGTAAGCTGGACTAAAAGTAGTCATAACTGTTGGGGAATTTTTCTTTTCCTTTAATTATCAGGGGCCCCTTTTTCTAGAACTCTCTGTGCTTTTGGGATAACTCCTTCTGGCTTAGTTTAATTCATTAATTCTGCCTGTTGTAACATATCTAGAGATTTTAAATTTCTATATTTACTATGAATGAGCCACAAAACTGCTTGTGAAATTGTAGGAGTTCCTGGAGCCAGTGTCACATCAAATGATAGATTGATTGTGGCATTGCCCACATTTAATCTTTTGTCTTTATTATTCAGAGAAGCCGTCTCCATTGGATTGGAAAGAAACAACATGCTCTATTCGTGGATCAATAGAAAAATAGCCAAAACGAGAATAAAGGCAATGAATGTATAGCCAAGAAGAATATAGTAAGAATAAAGGTAGAGGCTATAAAGGTGCAGTCAAGTGTATGGGAAACCTTGAACCAACACCCCCTTCCTGCAGGCATGCTTCCTTGAAGCTTATGCTTTATCTGGCATGATATCTCATGCAGACTCTGAAGGAGGTGGCATGGCACAAAACCTAGACCTTTCTACCTACACCTTCCTAATTCATGCAGCTCAGATAGCACTGTCTCTTCCTAGTGGAGTTTTTGCTCATGAATATGGGTGCTTACCGATGTGTCCTGTGTAAAGAACTTGAGAAGATTGCAGTTAATAAAGCAGGGTACAGTACCTTGGAAGACCCAGAAACATTGAAGTGGGTTCAGAGTTAATTGGAAGAGAAGAGAACTGGAATGAACGCTGGAGTCAAGGTGGCTTCTACATGTGAGCTTTTAGTTGGACTGCAGCCCCAGTGTGAAATGGAAGACTTCTTTGCCTCCATTGGACCGAGAGACCCTTGTGGTCAGGTCAGCAGGAGGATCCTGGAGTGATTTGTTAATCCTGCCCTACAGGGGGAAGGGGGATTCTGCATATCCCCCGTGGGAATGGGCAATTGGCACCACAGTCATGGGAGATCGATTGTAAAATGAGCCCATTTTATTTTATTCACATAAAATATTATAGGCTTGTTTAAAACTTAATTCTCATCCTGAGTATGCAAAATACAAATTCCAAAAAAATGTTCATTTTTTTACTTTGTACTTTGCAAATATACAAAATAGAAGTTTGGTTAAAATTATATTACATATTTATTAAGGTGAAGAACTATGTAACAAGTTAGCTCTGCTTAAGGCATACTTAGGAATAAACGATTGTACAAATTATTGTGCCTTTGAAACCACATTGCATAACAGACTGTCTCCGTAAAAATTGTTAAAGAAGTAAACCAAGTATAACTTAGTCATACATATAGATCAGAAGACAAATATATAGTCCTTGTCAGGGCTGGGAAGGTGGCTCAGTGGTAGAGCACTTGCCTTGCATTCCTGAGGCCCTGGGTTCGATTCCTCAGCACCACATAAGCAAAAAGAAAAAAGCTGGAAGTGGCACTGTGGCTCAAGTGGTAGAATGCAAGCCTTGAGCTGAAGAGCTGAGGGTCAGTGACCCGAACCAGAGTTCAGGCCCCATGACCAGACCCCCCCTCCAAACATATATATATATATATATATATATATATATATATATATATATATATATATAGTCCTTGTCAAAGCATACAGCAGTTTGAGAACTTTGGCTTCCTCTTTTGTACCTTTAGAACCAAGACTCATCAAGCACCATCATTTAGGCTATTAGAACACATATTCTGTACTGAAATCTCTTCCTCTTCTTCTAACTAAATAATGGCTTTTAGAAGGCAAAGGGAATACAAGGTGTTCTTTATATTTATATTGCATCTGAGACAATCTGTGAGAAGTAGAGTGGGGGAGGGGTGTAGAGTGAGACTAACACCACCACAAGGCCACAAGAGGCAGGCCTCCTGGAGCAGAGCAGAGGCCAGGCCTGTGGAGAGGAAAGCCCTGTGGTATAGAGAGGCGTGCTGGAAAGAGAGAGAAACCTGCCACCTGGAGGCTGCAGCTGCTCTTAGTTCTGAGGTACCCCAGGACAAGGCAGTTATAGACCAGCTAGTAAAACTCCTTTGTCACCTTTGGCCATGGATTTTCCCTCCTCTGAGATCATTACAAATTCAAGGGAATTCTGGTCTTCTCTCTCCCTCACCCCACCCCAACTGATGGATCTAATTTGCACCCCATTATCCACAGCTTCCAGTAATCCCCATGGTGGTGTCTTGTAAATCCAGGAATACTCAAGCTGATTTAGAATTGCAATGATAGCCGATACAATCTCAGACCCATCGGTTCAATTTTGTTTTTTTAATTTTGCCTTTGGATTCTTCCTTTCTCTTGATTATCCATTCACAAGAGATATTGGAAACTTTCCCATGGTTGTAGTGCTTTGCCAACATGAGCTCTCTCACATGGGAAGACAGTATGAAGGATTTTCTACTGGCAGTATGTGACTGTGTATCCACAGTCAGGGATTTAACAGTGTCTCTATGCATCAGGCCAGGGGACCCACCTGGACAAGGCTGTTTCTGTGCATCAGGAGAGGAGACTCATCTAGACAAGGCAATCTGTATGCATCAAGCGAGGGGACCCACCTGGACAAGGCCGTCTCTGTGTGTCAGGCCAGGAGACGCACCTGGACAAGGCAGTCTCTATGTGTCTGTCCAGGTGAGCCCACCTGGACAAGGCCGTCTCTGTGAGTCAAGCCAGGAGACTCACCTGGACAAGGCAGTCTCTATGTTTCAGGCCAGGGGACCTATCTGGATAAGACCCTCTCTATGGATCAAGCCAGGAGACCAACCTGGACAAGGCTGTTGAACTTGTGGCACAGGAATGGCAGCACGACTAGTGTTGCCTGGTCAGTTCATCAGAATGGGCAAACTTCTACCCAAAGCCATCCCAGTCACAGTGGTAAGGTAAGGTGTCTCACCTGTATGGGTTCAGAAATGCACCTTGAGATGAGAGCTCCTTGGATAGGTTTGGCTGCAGCCCATGTGCTCACACGCATGGGTGGCCTTTGTGTGGCCATGACCTTCTTACTTCCTTCGGCTTTGGCTCCTCTGGCAGGTAGGAACCAGGTCACCTGCTCAGGCAGGCAGGGTGGGTAGTTGGGCCCTCGATGGGCATGGGATATAGGGGCTAGCAGTAGACTTGGGTGACAGTCCCTATTGACCAGCAATTCCTCCCCTAATGGGGAGCTGTTGCCCCAAAGAGAATTCTTTTTTTTTTTCACTTTTCCGCAAACTTTGTTACAAACATACAATTCTTTAAATATAGACTGTAAAACTCCATTTGCAAAAGTCTGCTATTGTAAGGAGTGCACACTAGCAGGAAGGATTCTTAACTTTTTCTATGCGTTTTCTGTCAGTTTTGCTAGTTAGTGGTAAATACGGGACCCGCTGTTTTACAGGCCTGTCCGAAGCTTGTGGCTGTATTCACATTGCTCTTTTGAAGCAGCCCTGCATGTATCAAAATTGTTCAGAATCTGAGCTTCAACCTACAGGCAGTGAGATCAACAGCCCGTCTGGACTCTGCTTTTTGAACAGTTTTCAGGAAGTGTGATTTCTGGACGGGTACTGCACTTCACAGATTTGTTTGAATTGCCCATGCAGCTCTATGTTAAAGTGCATTCTTCTTTTCAAAAATAAGCAAAAGAAATAAACTTTTTACTTTTTAATTAACCAAGGTATTTAAAAAAATGAACTTTTTGGTCTCTCAGCAGATATTCTCAAATTGATCCTACTACTTCAATTTCCATGTTCTATTTACAACATTTATAGGATTCTGGGTGGAGGGAACTTTATAAAATGAAATGTGCAGCTTCACTTGAAGCAGTAATCAGCTCTACAAATTCATACATAGGCATATGCACTTGGCTTACAATGTATAAGCTTGTTGGTATTTACAGAGATCAAAGACAACCCTCTCCAAAAAAAAAAAAAGAACAAAAAACAACCTTTTAAAGTAATTGCCAACCTAAACTCTAATTGTACATTTAGATCAGGAAGCTGTCTCCTGCTATCAAGTTTTGGTTTTAATTGAAATAACTTTGTAGATTCTCTACTGGAAGGACATGAGTCCCCCGCTTTGGAGTGAAGAGCCAAGTCTAACAAAGCTACCAATAGATAGAACTGTCTCTGAAGATTCCCACAGAACAAAAACATGCTATGTAGCACTGTATCAGAACAGGTGATCTTAACAAATGATTTTAGAAAGACATCTGTATGAAAGTCCAAAAGGAAAACAAAATGCTTAATAATATAGATGTTCTAGGACTTCAGAAAAAAGTTCAGATACACTGATATAGTCTTGATACTGATGCCACTGAAAAATAATTCAAATACGACTTGCCTCCTATTGGAATGTGTGAAATGATAGACTGTAAAAAATGTGTCTACACTAACTGAAAGTCAGTTTCTAGACTTTTTGTCCAATCTATAGGGTTTTAAGAATCCAAGTTTTTTTTCCCCCTAGGTAGAACTTTGGGTTTTGAACTCAAGGCCTTGTGTTTGCTTGGCAAATGCTCTACCACTTAAGCCACACGCCCAGTCCTATTATTGGTATTATTTTTTGCTTTATTTTTCAGATAGGGTCTTTTGTTTATAGCCCAGGGCTGGCCTTGGGCCACGATCTCCTATCTCTGTCTCCAAAATACCTGGGATTACAGGCATGTTCCAAAATGCCCAGCTCCAGAGAGCTTTTTTACACAGAAGAGTGACATGGTAGAAGAAAAGGATTTATGCTTATTATCAATTTAAAACAAAACCTCCAAATGTGTGTAGTGATAAAATCCTGTTCTTTCATTTTCTTTGAGTCTCTTGTACTTTTTTCTCCCAAGAAGAAATGTTAAAAGGGAAGAAACAATCCACTTGCCCTTCTATTTCCAAGCACATATTTTTCTGACCAGCCTGATCCAGCAACACAAGACAAAACATTTTGCCTTTAAGAGATGGTCTCAGTGAGTCTTGAAAAAGTTAGCCATTGAAGAGATGCTGGAGGTAGGAACAATGAACAAACTCATGCCTTCTGCAAAATGCTAGTGGCCACTTAATGTATCTATCACTTTCTCTTCACAACTCTGGACCTTCATTTCCCTGTGTGCCCTCTCTTTTTTTTTGGGGGGTCCGGTCGTGGGGCCTGAACTCTGGATCTGGCCGCTGTCCCTCTGCTCTTCAGCTCAAGGCTAGAGCTCTACCACTTGAGCTACAGTGCCACTTCCAGCTTTTTTCTTTTTGCTTATGTGGTGCTGAGGAATCGAACCCAGGGCCTCGAGCATGCAAGGCAAGGGCTCTACCGCTGAGCCACCTTCCCAGCCCGACTGTGTGCCCTCTCTTATCTGTCAGTGGATAGCAGAAATAGCATGGGGAAAATAAAAATTGCTCCCGGATTCAAAAATCTATTAGAAAAGTTGAGTTAAAACTTTCACTATCATGCTAGCTTAGCTTCTAATAAAGTTGTGCTCTCCCTTTTACTAGTTTACTGTGGTAAAGCTAACAATATGGCATCTTCTCGTTTTAACATGGTTCTATCTGTCCCAATTGGAATGTCTAATTCCAAGAAGGCATGAGTTAGATTCTCAAACGAGAGTAAGACTGTGAACAGAAGTGGACAGCATATTCCATACTGCATTAGGAAATACAAAAGGCATTCACAAAGGCCTTGCTTGATTCAGGGGGACACATCGCAATTGGAAATCCCCAAGACAAGAAATCTTTACAATGCTGATGCAATTTTATTTTTCCATTTTCTGAATTTAACTTTCAGTACTGAAAAGTGGATTGCACATGTTCCAGTAATGAAACTAGGTTTTAAGAATAAGGTCTGAGGATGACTTACACAGTCAAGTCAGATATGGCAATGGAAATTGCTACTCAAGAGTCCAGTTATCTCAAGAAACTTCTGAAGCTAATATTAAAAATGAATATTTTTTTTTCTAAATTAAAGCAGAAGAAATGAGGCTGTAATTTGTCATTTCCACCTTGCATATGGAATTTCAAATGGGACATATGGACTTTTTTCTTGTCTGTATTTTAAGGTAAACATGGTTCTTATTTTCTTTTTTCTTTTCTACAAACTATCTCCCCCCACCCTGCCCTACCCCCACCTTTACACCCATTATCCAGTATACTGAATGGGAATTGTAACTCTTTCAGAAGACAGCTAATTGATTTACAGTACTCTAAAAACAACCCTGAAAACTGATAATCTCATTCATTTACTGTAACTTCAGTGCTGTTATTGACAGAAAAGAAAAAGTTACCTTAAGGCTTAAGGGAAAGTAACTTATTAAATTGTGAATGCAGCATTTTTTACTCTCCCATCCATTGGAAACTAGCAAAATGTATTCTGAATCAACAATACAAACTCTCTAACATTAGCAAAGATTTCTACTCTCCTGACATAAAGTTAGAATAATATTCATAAACAGAATATCTAGGGGAGCCTGAGAAACCATGATCCACATCACACAAAGATCCCATGCATTTCATGATCAAAAAGTGCTTTATCTTTGAGAAATATGTCAGGGATGAAATGGAAATATACAATGCAAAAAACACTTGACGCTTTTTCACAATTGTGGAAAAGGAGCAAAAAGGTCTGCTCTCTGAACAGGCCTTACTTATGCACAAGACTTTTAAGGTGTCCTAAATTAATATTGATTTAAAGAATTCATAATAGTGGGGATTTCACTCCACTATATTTAAAAAATAAACAGAGATTGGACATCAAAGCTGTCAACTTTGTTATTCATCAGAGCAATTCTGATACTTAGAAAACTCAATTGAATTAGCTCCAGGATCAAAACATTAACTTTCCCCAATCAAAAAGGATACAATCAAAAACATACCTAGAGTGTTATAGAACAACTCTCAGCAAACAAGTCATTTTCATAAAAGCAAAAAGTCACTTCTTGCCTCTCCCTTCTCACTGATCAAGGCCACACGATTTTCAAATGAATATCTACTGAGAGATCAGTTGTGCATTGGACAAAGTACATAATTGGGTTAAAAATGAAAACAAAATTTTCAGTGAAGAATACTTATGTGCATGGCTTACACACTCCAGCTTCTTAATTTTATCCACCTCAAGAGCAAGGTAGATGCACAGTCACCTTGTGTAGATTACATTCTACTCCCCTGTAAAGCCAGTCAAGGTCATATTTAAGCATCTTCAGCAACAACAGTGCCTGAAGTGTGCAGCCATTTACAGACCACTCAATATGAGGGCATTATTATAACCAGCCTCTTTTGCCCACAACCCTGCATTTTCAGATAAGACAAGATAATTGTTTTGTTTTGAGAAAACCGAAGCTTGAATCTCTTAAAAGACCTGCAATTTACTGCAAAGTGACCCAGAGGTAACAAAGGAAGCAGGAGGTTAATGGCTGCCTGCACCAAAAGTCTCTCAATCATTCTGCAGTAAATAATTATGGAAAGTGACATGACAAGTAGCCATGTGTGTACCACAGCTACAGCCAGTTGTACCACCTATATGCCTCCAACAGTTCCATAGGGTATTTGGGGGTTTTTGGTTTACTTTTCAGTTTGATTTTTGGTGCTATACAGACTGACATTTTGTTTGGTGCAGCATATGCACTGAAAGATCTGCTCACCAGATTTACCATTTCACTTGCTGAAATGATGAGAAGGGACAATAGAAACCTAAAGAGTTACATCACTTCACAGAGACCGACTCTTTTGACTGTTTGAAAAGAAAGGCTTATCTCTGTAGCTAGTTTGAAATAAAACTCAATTTTTTGAAAAGGAGTCTTAGTTCCCTATTTCTAAGGAATGTAACTATTTTCATTAGCTGGGATGTTTGCCAAATTTTGAAAACAACTTCTAAAGCGTTTGTAGTAAGCAGCTAAAAACAAAACAAAAAAGTTAGTTGCTTCCCAGAGTTTGTGTAATGCCATTATCTAACTGGAACAAAGACTATTTCCTTTAATAAGCTAGTATTAATGAATGAATCTCCATGCTCTGCAGATTTCTATTGTGCCTAGTCACAGGAATGAGGATCAGTGAAATGTTACAATTAATCTACATCCTTCTGCAATCTTCCTACAGTGGAAAAGAGGTGATGAAACACCCCTGCAGGAAAAATAAACCTCAGAGATTGGTTTAAGACTTAAAAACCCACCACTAGGACATTCACACTTAATCTTACACAGGCAGGTCAAAATTTTAATATAAATTACTTTTGCCAACACCTAGCTTACGCATTCTTTGCTCCTTTTTTTGGAGGATTCTCAAATTGATATCTAAAGACTTACATATGATATATAACTGTTATATGGTCTAATGACTAAGAAAATTTCTTTGGTAACCAAAGCTGATGCCATATATGGTAGTGTTCTTGGCATATACTCTATATGCCTCAGACCACTTCCACATTCTTTCTATTCAGCTAATTATAGCTGAGTAGCCACTGGTAAAGGATTGTGAAGACCCTGTCATTTCTACAGAATAGAAAGGCAAGGCTAGTTACTGCAATTCAGCCAAATAAAAAGAAAAGAAAAAAGATTAATAAACCACTCCCTTGAAAAGGAGAGGTACTGCACCTTTGCAAAATTGAACTGGCTCACTGCAGCTGAGCAACAGAATCACCACTGAAGCAAGAAAATAAGTTGGTCTATACAGGAATTGTACAT